CACGGGCGCAATCTAGGTGGGCCGCCATTAGTACCGCCGCATGCGTGGCGGGCGAGGGAGTCGAGGTGTGGTCCAACCGACTCCCTCGATTTTCGTGCCTTAAGCACCCCCATCATCAGCGCGGTTAGTGGCGGTCAAATCGCCGTTATTGTTAATACGCCAACCTGGCCGCTCGGCGGCATCCGTTTAGATTCCCCGCCGGGCCCACAACCCTAGCTTGGGAAGTTGTGAGGCGCCACGTCAGACCGACCTCAGGAGGCCAACGTACGATGTGGTGTCGAGGGCTACTGTCGGAGATATGGGCCCGGGGGTATGCGAAGTGAGGGGAATTTATCTTCCCATCCTGTTGCGTGACCCTACAGCCTGGCCCTACCCCCGCACCCCGCGACTTGCAGGAGCGGCCGAGGGGCCTCAGGGTGCCACGTCATGCCCCTCGGGCCCTCGCGCCACTTTGTCCCGAGGCCCTCGCCCAGCTGCCATCTGGCGGGGGGAGCAAGCGGGGAGAGGGCCCAGCCTGAACCACCTTTAATGCGCGCAGCGCCCCAACTGCCCCCTGCCGCATTCAATGCAGTAGGGTAGACGTGCGGCGTGCCCGACTGGTGCGCGTCGGTCAGGAATGACCGATCTGTGACCAGCCTGTCGCCGGTCACATCCGACTGGACGGACGGCCGTGCCCCCACGTCGCATCTGCCTCCGACAGAGTGGAGGTAGGTATGACCTGTCCCATTGGAGGGTCATTCGGAGTTCTCCCCATGAAAGGGCGGCCACCACAAGTCTTCACCTATTAATGAGGGAATGATAGAGATGTCCCCCGTGTCAGGCGAGGGACGGCGCTGGGCCCTACTCAAGGACAAGCTGTGGCTTAGCTTACAGGCGAAGGCACGGGTCGAGATCCGGTCAAGGTAGGGTGGGTCCCCACCCGATAGGAGAGTAGGTAGAGGCGGTGCATGTGGTATCCCATTGAGGTATAAAAGGAGGACCTTGCCCACCGAGAAAGGGGACGACTCTCAGAAAACCTGAGCTCTAGGAGAAGGGAAGCAAGAGCGCTCTCCGGAGTTTAGGAACCTTTGTAACTCTCAGTCTAAATCCCATACACAGGAGTAGGGTATTACGCTTCATAGCGGCCCGAACCTGTATAATCTCGTTGTGCACACGCTAACTAGCAGCCTTGGGGGCAGAGATGCGATTTCCAGAGGCGGGCCTTTTCCCCCGGCCAAACTCACGAAAGGGGGATCCCACGATCTCCTGCTAGAGAGGATCACTCCTCGACAGTATTGAACGTCTGTTAGTTTGATTACATGGGGCTCGGGTCTATTTATACCCGAGAATTACAAAATATGTCCATATCGGACACGACTCTTATCTCTAACAAACTCTAAGGGTGTGTTTGAGGAGGAGAGGATTGAGGAGATTGGGAAGATACGCAAAACGAGGTGAGCCATTAGCTCGTGATTAATTGATTATTAACTATTTTAAATTTCAAAAATGGATTAATGTGATTTTTTAAAAGAACTTTCCTATAGAAAATTTTTGCAAAAAACGCACCGTTTAGTAGTTTGGGAAGCGTGCACGCGGAAAACGATGTGCTTTCTTCCTCAAACTCACTGGAACAAACGCTGCCTAAGATATCATAAGTCTTTGCGACAGACTTTTTCCCAAACATATCTCTAAGTAAATTACATAAAATATCCTAATTAATAGATACAATTGCCTTCTCAGGACTCTATCCATGCGTGGCAATCATCATGAAGCACGTTAACCTAGCCCGACAACATATGCCGTGCCATATTGTCAGATTCGGCTCAATCAGCTAACCCTGTCTGACTCGAACCCTGCCGATCTTAGTCGTCGCCGATGCAGACTTCAGCCGATCCTCACTATGTTTCCGGGACAATCTCTATCTCTGTTAACAGTGAAATTTGGTAAGCCCGGAGTAATCATCGGCTTAGAGTCAGCATCGGCTTCGAAGTCCTGAGATTAGCCGATGAGAGTTATCAAGTCGTCAATTGTCGGATTCTTGCTATATTCAGTTAAGGAAATTAATCTACTAAAGGAAGCTTATCCAGAAGAGACCGAGTTCGAAGAGAATGCGGCATGGCAAGTTATCTATTAATTAGGAATAGTTTGTTAGTTTCCTTTTATCTTTAGGAAAGTGTGTTTCGTGTCCGATAGGGACTTTATGTTTTCCTTTTATCTTTACAAAAAGTTTCTTTCTTGTCTGACAAGAACTTGTATCAACCCATAGGTATAAATATGTACATCCGGGGTCTATGTAATTTATCGCTACGATCAATACAATTCGGCGCATCGCCACCCTTTTTACCTTTTTCTACTTTATTTTATCGTCCGGCGGGACTTGGCACCTGACGCGGGGCTGCATCGGTGTTTAATCTCCGGCTAAGGGGTAAGTCCAATGTTCCGCCGGCCCAGGTAATAGTATCGTTTACGTCGGCGTCGTTCAAGGCTGCATCAATACATTCGACCTCTTGGATTGCTCTGGTTTGGATGATATATTTGCCTACCTATTTATCATATGTGTCTGTTAATCTAGTCTTAGCATATTAATTTAGCTCTATCGGCTGCTTCTCGTTTTAGGGTTTCCGCCGGTATCGGCTAAATCGCGTTGCTAGATTAGATTAGCCTAGGTATCTACCACCCTGAAAATCAGTCAACGGCTTGATTGTCTAGATATTATATTTATTTTCATACTTAGTGCTGCATCAGTTAAGTTTGATCTACTAAGTCGTGCTTAGAACCATAATCTCTAGCCTGCTTCTTGATTGCCAATAAGGGTTTCATCGGGGTTTCAGCCGGTGAGTTATCTGGACGTTGCATCGGCTCATAAGGATTGCATATACATATAAGTTGGATTTAGCCGATGACAACAAAGGTTTCACTGTTTAATCTAATCTTGTGGATTTCATGACATCGGACCTCCAGCCGATATGTGCTTTAACCTTCGGATCGATGCTTATTTACCATATCATTGCTAGCCGATTGGTTTATACGGGATTATATTGCTATTTTATTATATCATCATCAACCGATTGCCTTTATATCATCATATACATTGGACATATAGCCGATTGCTTAAACCCTATCACTATCGGCTGGTATCGGCATCGGCTATTATCGGCTATCGGCCGGAACTACTCCATCGGCTTGTCAGCCGATCGGCTGTTTTGATCTACTATTTGCATATCTTGTCAGTTGCAGGATCAAACTGACTAGCACGCCCGCATCTCACCAATCTTTGGACCTGCACTGGAGCTAAGCAGATCTCCCAGGTCGGTGTGTTCGATTTTTTCGTCAACAATCTCGAACTCCGTCTCGATTCCTTCTCCACATCCGATCCTTGGATTACCAAATTTGGTCGTTAACAAAGTGATACCTCTGAGATATCATCTCGTCCGAACGGATACCTTCACGTAACATTCCCCAATCAAAACCCCTTAAATCAAGCTTCCTCAATTAAGGAAGAGGTATTACTTTGTTTTTCTAAAATAAGAGACCATCGCAGATCCGACTCTGGTCTAGGCCAGTTGTGTGACCGTCTAGGACCCAGAGCGAAGGGAGCTCATCACTACCATTCCACCACCCCCAGACTCAACAAGCCTCAGCTAGACCCAGACGCCCAATTAAATGCAAGGTTTGACTGTGTTGATTTGTTGCTTCTAAGAGCATCTCCAATCGTATCTCCAAATTAGACTTTCCAAATACCTATATGGCCAACTCTTCAACTAATTTGGGTAGTCAAACTAGGTGTTCGCTCAAACAGACTCTCTATTTACATCTCCAAAATCATAAAGGGACCCACTTGTCAGCCTCCATTCCCTTCTTCTTCTTCTTCTTCTTCTTCTTCTTCTTCTTCTTCTTCTTCTTCTTCTTCTTCTTCTTCTTCTTCTTCTTCTTCTTCCTCTTTCTCTTTCTCTTCCTCCTTCTCTTCTCCCGCATCGGCCCATCGATCCATCCTCGACCGCCTCGTGGCGGCGACGGCTCCCAGGTGGCGGCGGCGGCGACGTCTTCCCGCGCGTGCCAAGTGGGAGGCAGTGGCGGCGGTGACGGCTCCCTGCGGCGGCAACGGCTCATGCGTGACCGTGGCGCGGCGGCAATGACGATGACTGCCGTGGCAGACTGTGGACCAGACATCAACGACGCCCTCGGTTCACCCCTGCTTGCAGCTTGCTGGTGGAGTGGTGGGTGGATGGGAGAGAGAGGAAGTATGGTGCTGGGAGTGGTGGTCGGACCCATCTTTGGCCAGTGGAGGAGGCTGGCTACATTTGGCTAGCCGAAGGAGCAATTTAGCTATCTGGATGGAGAGTCTGTTGAAGCTTGTTTTTTTTCATGTATTGGCTAAATTTTAACTTGGAGAGCTAAATAGAGAGTCTTTTGGAGAGGCTCTAACCCGGGATACTAGGGCAGGTGACAGAAGTGTCCATAGTACCGCCCCTGAGGACCGCGTGGTGGTGGTTTTTTTTAGGGGGGTGGGGGGTGGGGCGAATGTGACCCGAGCACTGTCCACGGGCCATGCTCAGGGGTAGGTGATACGATGCCCTGAAATACCCATTTATCTAAAAATGCCTATGCCTATGACTAATGTTAAATCATGCACAATGAGAATTCACTACCGTACGCCTCAAATATTTCTATGAAAATTGGTATTGTTCTCTCCGGTAAAAAAGAATATCTTGTACTTTATGGTTTGATAAAACCTTTAAAATTCCGACCATTATAATTTCTCAAAAGCATAGTTTAAAACCAAAACAAATAATATACATAGGTTTGTTTATAAGAGTACGATGGTAATATCTTAAACTTAACTTTTGTTTTAACATAGAATTAGTTGCTAGAATTTCATAGAATTAGTTGTTAGTTGAATTTTAAAAGTTTTGACGAAATTTTGTGTTAAACGGTACTGTAAATATTTTTGACCCTGGGAAGTAGTAGTACAGTAAAACTGGAGAATTCGAGAGAGTGGGTGACAGCAACTGCCTGAAACTCGAGAACCCTACAGAAACACGCAACCGCTGTGGCCGCCGAATCGACACCAAACCCCCCAAACATCTCGCAACACATCGAATTATCGAACCTTCCAATCCTACCCCGACCACGAGCGAATCCTCCTCATCGAAGTGGAGGAGAAGGAGATCCTCGCCGGAGCATCCGGTGGCTTGGTTCGTGGGGGATCGGCCTGCGGCCGGCGAACCCTAGGCCGATGAGGCCGATCCGGCTGCCGGAGCCCCCCGGCGTCGGCGGCATGGAGACGCCCGAGATCTTCACCGGCGCCGCCGCCGCCACCGTCGTCGTCCGCCGCGCCGTCGTCATCGGCAACGGCTCCCCCGGCGCCGAGAACCAGTGCCTCGGCCTCGTCCGCGCCCTCGGCCTCGCCGACCACCTGACCCTCTACGTCAGTTTCCCCCCTCTCTCTCTCTCTCACCCCAGTGCAGTTGTTCCTGCTCTACTGTTGATTTTTTTCTCTCTCTCCGTTTTTTGAACGAATTGCTCTGTTTTTTTTTTTGGCTTGCAGCGTGTGACGAGGCCGCAGGGAGGGATCAACGAGTGGCTGCACTTCCTCCCCGTCTCGCTCCACAAGCTAATCGACCAAGTGCTGAGGCAGTTCTTCCGCAACACGAGGCTTGCGCCGGTGGTCGAGGGGCGGAAGCACTACCGCGTCCCGAACGGCGGATCGGTTGGGGTTGGGCTGTCCTCTGTCCTGGAAGCGGACGCCAAGAAGATCGTGGCTGTGGCTCGCGATACATTCGAGAAGTAAGGCGCGCATTGCTTTGCTATCTCTCCGTCCACTTGTTTAAAATGTGTGGAACTGTGGATTAGGGGGGGTTGTTTTACATTATATTTATTTTCAGTTGTGTTAAGTTGCTGAAATGATGTTTTACATTATATTTATTTTGAGTTCGGTTAAGTTGCTGAAATGATAATGTTAGTTCAGGAATTCTGGCAACGGGTTAGAGTAGATTTATTTATTCCGACATCTCTTAGAAGTTACGGGCTGCTGGAGTTGCTATGAAATTCACCCACTTTTTTCTTTTATGTACCCTTTGTTTTTTTGGCAAATTCGACATCACCACCCTTTTTGGAGTTAACAAGTATTGTGATAAATGGTACAATGCCATTTCCATATGCAATGCTCGTATCTTTAATGCCGAAAATAGTTAGAAATGGAGGATTAAGAGGACTATTGCTATCCTGATGATTTTGGTGAACATAGCAAGGGATGATTAAGGTGGATATTGCTGTCCTGATGGTTTGGAACAACATCTATTTGCCCAGTTGAATATGTTTGTGTAAATACCTTGTAGAGTGCAGTCTTATGTCACTTAAAACATTGGCAAACCACACATGATCTGCAGAAATCTGAGTGTTTTTTCTCCTAGCAATATATTTTGTTTGCTGGTTGCTTTATGATATTTTCTATTATGCTCATGAAAAAATAGTTTCTCTTGTCTTCCTAAAAATAGTATAAGCTGTGAACATGACAGTTAACTCTTCTTTCAGGGAAGGGCCAACTTTAATTGTCGCGTGTGGCTGGGATACCATATCATATTCAAGCTCAATAAGGCATCTAGCTTCAGGCAATGTGTTCGTCATTCAGGTAGTATTCAAACCTAATGTGTTGGATCCATTGCTATAGTGATAGGCAACAAAATACCTACTGATTGTGATATAGATCTTAATTTAATTCTGGAAATGTTGTCCTTTCGATTTCAGATACAGCACCCGAGGTCTCGCCTAGATAGGTTTGATCTGGTGGTGACTCCTCGCCATGATTACTATGCTTTAATTGCTGGCGGACAAGAAGAAATTCCACGCCTGTTCCGTAGATGGATAACTCCGCAAGAACCACCTGGGAGGAATGTGGTATGCTGCTTTCTCTTCTTTATTTTGGGAAGTGAAAAATGGTTGCACTGCGATGTCATACTTATTCTGGATTTTGAAAAAGTTCAGGTGCTTACTGTTGGTGCACTACACCAAGCTGATTCTGCTGCACTGCGCCTTGCTGCTATAGCCTGGCATGATGAACTCGCCCCTTTGCCTAAGCCATTGCTAATCGTCAACATTGGAGGACCCACAAGTAGATCTCCCTATCTTTCTCACGTTGCACATTCCATTGTTTCTGTATTTGGATACGTAGTCCTGCTTTGAGTTTGCAAGAATAAATCTAGCCACAATTCAAATGGTTGCACTCTGATGATTTCTCATGGAGAAACCTATGCGCACCTGAGTGCACACACAAAAAATAAGAAATGATATGTCGATGTGTTACTGTTAGATGTGGCTAGTCAGTTGCATAGAAGATACACCTGTTATTTCTTTCAGTAACAGGAGATTCATCATTTTTAGGATATCTCAATTGATTTCTTTACTCAATATGATGATCTCTAAGGGGATATCATCTCTTATTTATCGTAGCAAGGAAAAGTTCCTTGCAACGCCATTGTCCCTGGAACATTATGAAATTGTTTTAACTAATGTGATGCATCATAAAGATACCATAGAAGCTAGAATCATCAAGAGTAAAAGGCCGACCTTTTTTATGTCCTGAAGTTGCATTCTTTGCCCCTCCCCCTAGATCTTTGGGGGTGCAGAACTAGTGATGTGCCATTACTCCATGCTACCTGTGGACTGTGGATTGAGAACCCCACATTTGATGTTGTTGTTTAGATATCTGTATTAGCCTTCAGCTTTCCTCCTAAAACCCATGAGAGCCTATGATACAAATCAACTCAGGGTCAGAATTTCGTATATAGTATGTGAGGACTATAAACATATAGCGAATCTTATAATGAGCAAAGCATTTCGATGCTATGATCTTTTATATCCTTCTCTGTACACCTTTCAGAAGTATTATCGACTAGTCAACTGCCTTGGGACTCTTGGATATGCTTTTGCATGTCTAACTTACAGAGAGCTAACAGAATTTCTGTTGGCTTTTAATCCTTTTTATCTTAAGCTTATTTTGTTACAGTTTTGTATGTGTCCCATTATTGATTTTCATGCCCAGATCCAATATTGACTTTTGTTATTTGTCAATGATTAGGGAATTGTAAGTATGGTGTCGACCTTGCCAGGCAGCTCATAGCTTCTACGTATAATGTTCTAGACAGCTGTGGGAGTGTGAGAGTTTCATTTTCCAGGAGAACACCGCGAAAGGTAGGACGATTGGTATTCTGGTTTTTCTGTTATAATATCGTTAAAGAACTTGGCATTTAAGTTTAATTATCTGCTGACAGGTCTCTGATATTATATCGAAAGAGTTCGCTGGTCATCCTAAGATCTATATTTGGGATGGGGAAGGTAGATGAAATATAACACTAAGTTATTCATGATGTAATATATTTATTATGCATGTTGTTACATTTGTAAGTTGTAACAAGTTGATTTTATTTTTGCAGAACCTAACCCGCACATGGGGCATCTTGCATGGGCTGATGCTTTTGTTGTAACAGCTGATTCTATAAGTATGTTAAGTGAGGCTTGTAGCACAGGGTAAGCTGATATTAAAATTCACGTAATTTCCAGCAAGCTCCTACCTTTTTTATGGGTTTGCATGACTTGCTTCACATCACACGTGTCACAGGAAGCCTGTTTACGTCATTGGGACTGAGTATTGTAAATGGAAGTTTTCTGCTTTTCACAAGACTCTACGGGAGCGAGGAGTTGTCCGTCCTTTCACTGGATTGGAAGATGTAAGTCTATCAATCCTGTCAATGATAATTTGTTTTGATTTATACTGCCTACTTGGCTACTTGCCTAATAGAATAGTGCATAACTTAAGCATGTACCATTTGTCCGTTTTCTGAAAGCTAAGCTGTAGTACTAATCATTCACTATTTTAATATCTTTATAAACTCTGAACCTTATCCCTTGAAGGTTTTACTTTAATTATTTTGGCACCTTGATTTTTCTTAATCCTCATGCTTCATTGATTTTGATCCTAGTTATTAAATTCTTTTCTTTTCTGCATTTGCTGCATTTACTTGAATAAAATCTAATGCATTGTGAATTCATTTGTGCATATAGTAGAATTATGTCAATTATTGTTGTTGTTGCCATCAATTATCGTTGTGTGGGAAATACTATTGTTGTCACTCTGACAATCTTTAATGACAAGGCTCGCATAAAAATACAGTAAAACTATGTCAATGTGGCACATGAACTTTCTGCTTTACCAACTGAGCTATCCTGAGTTCCTGACCACTGCTGACATATTTTTGTTTTTGTGGAATAGTTGGTGTAGATGGTAAGTGGAAGTTTATGGCACATGGACAGTGTAGATTAACTCACAATTCAGAAAATATTAGTAGATATGCTAATGAAAAGATGTAAATCAACAAGACAACTTATGCTCAAGTAACTACACCTGATAACTAGTGGTTTTTCAAGTACCCTTTTTTTTTAGATTTTCTTGAGGTTCACAAGGATGTACTTGTATATCCACAATTCTGGGTGGCTATATCATTCTTCTTTTCCTTGTAGATTTCAAATAGCTGGAGCTACCCTCCCCTAAACGATGCTATTGAAGTAGCTACACGTGTCCGTGAAGCAATTGCAGAACGAGGGTGGTCTGTGGGATGATAGCGACAGTTAGGATGTGTTGTTCTGTCCGACAGTAAATTATGTAGTTTGATTAACACAGTCACTTAAATTCAAGTTACATTGTTCAGAGGAAGAATAATATAGCCATGGAATGGCCTGTACAAAAGTTGAGCCTTTTCTTTTGGTGGTATACCCCAATTTTGGAGCCATTGCACAGCACCCAGGAGATCATTTTTGGTTTGAGATTCTCTTCCCTCTTGTACTTCTAACGCTACTGGAGAGAAGCCAACATATGAAGTATTGGAATTGAAACTTTATTCTGTGTGATACATGAGAAGCAATCTGACATTGTGAATTGTTTCCCTGTCTGTGGTTTAGGTTTATTCTTTTCATTAATTAAAAAAATGCGATGCTTTCTGTAAAATTTCATCAAAGCTTATGCCCTGATGCCTTCTGGCTAAAATCATAATGTTATTTATATGGTGCACTAATATTATGGGCTCCTATTAATCTGTCAATTGCTGGGACGGCCGCAAAACAAGCAGCAGGGCAGCTTGTTTCTGTGCTGGTCTGTGGACACGTGGTGATGGTAGCAGCTCGCATTGCGTGGGCTTGTTAGTTGTTACAATCTCTGGTTGCTGGTTGGCTTTGCATGCTGTATGCATAACATGGCTTGTGCTGTACTCATGAATAAACAACATGTTTGAGAGGTTGCACATGTATTCCCTTCCCCATTTGAGTAATCGCCGTTTGAGCTGAGGTCACCGTAATAGCTTACGGTGCTCTGTTTTTGTAAGGTCCAATGACTGAATGTTCGCTGCCGCCATTTGTTTTTGCCTTCTTGAGCTGCATGCGTGTATTGCTTGCTCGACCAAATCGATGTAGCTTTGCAAAATTATCACATTTTGTATTGGTGTTTTCTCCCACCAGTTTTTGCCAAATTTTGCTCATCAAATAGGCAAACATGTGGCTTTTGCGAAACATTCACAATGAAATAAGGCATTGCTGTAAAATTGTTAATCTGTAGTTTGCTTAATCTGTGGAGGCAATTAATCTGTGGATATGCTAAATTTTGCTTAAAAGTGTTAGGCAATTGTTGTAGGACATAGGTCGGCAACAAATACATTCGACCAAGCAACCCCTCGATGTATCTGTGTCGAAATGAACGTCAGAACAACCAGATTGGGAGATTTCGTAGTACTGCTCAGGCTTCGAACTTGTGAAGAAGTGACCTGCTTAGGCTGTGTTTGGATACAGGGATGAAAAATTTTGGCATGTCACATCGGATATACGGACACACATTTAAAGTATTAAACGTAAACTAATAACAAAACAAATTACAGATTCCGTCTGTAAATTACGAAATGAATTTATTAAGCCTAATTAATCTGTCATTAGCAAATGTTTACTGTAGCATCGCATTGGCAAATCATGGAGCAATTAGGTTTAAAGATTCATCTCGCAATTTACACGCAATCTGTGTAATTAATCTGCGTAATTAGTTATTTTTTTTATATTTAATACTCCATGCATGTGTCCAAACATTCGATGTGATAGGGTGAAAAATTTTACCAGTTGATCTAAACATGCCTTTAGTCATATATGTGTGTTTCAGGGAGCACTTTTTGTATGGAGATGGAATTAAATCTTGGTGCCACAATTACAAACATGGGGGGTGGATTACTTGTTAGGAATGAGAACGGAAGAATAGTTTCTGATCCAATCCACTATAAATTCAACAAGACACAGGATATGGCAAGTAATTTCTAAAATCCAGTGGATTAAGATTTTTGTTATAAGTGATGGATTAGTACGAGTATTAGAAAATGCTATTTCTAAAAGGGAGTGGCTATACAACATTACACGGTTTTTGGGTAGAAACTTTCAAATGTAACTACTCCTTCCATTCCACGATGCTATTTTTAGGTTTGGAGAGTAAATTTGAATAAAATATGATTGATGGGATAAGTAGTACTCTTAAGTGATAACTATTGTAGGATAAATAGACATGGATGGAGTATATTAATATTACATTTGGAGTGTAATTACACTGTAAATATAATGTAGTTATATTGTAACTTATAACTTATGTGTAACTCCTATAAAAGAAAAACTTGCTTGGCTGGCTGGTTAGCGCGCGGTGTAAAAATTTTCTCCTTATTTTTGTATGAATCTCAACGTTGACCTAGGGTCCTTATAGTGAAAGTTTTTTGAAAAAAAAACAATGTCGACAATTTTATAGCAATCCCGTTCCTAAAATCCGATTAATGAGATAAAATACTACTTTCTCCATTTCACAATGTAAGTCATTCTAGCATTTCCCACATTTATATTGATGTTAATGGATCTAGATAGATATATATGTCAGATTCATTAACATCATTATGAATGTGGGAAATGCTAAAATGACTTACATTGTGAAACGGAGGAAATATTAAGATAAATATAATCTTATATTTTGGCCCATTTCACCACATCATATGGCTAGACCATACACCATGATAACTCATACAAATGCTATTAAGTGATTTTTTTCATGAGTTTAGGAGCCTAAGCCTAATTGGCTTCCTTAGTTGATGCTAATTTGTTGCGTATTTTACTTGTTATGTTATCTGCACATGCACATATTATCCGATAATTTGATATGTTTCTAGACCAAGTTCGCTCATGCCGTACCTAACACCTGATTTTTCTAATCAAATATACAATGATAATAATCCGTTTAAATCCGATCAGTTTGCATTCCTACTCTTTATCCTTGAGCGAGTGCGATGCGCATGTACATCTTTATATGATTGGAAAAGAAAAATATATGCAACGTATTTCTTCTTTGGTACTTGAAGAGGTACCGAACACCATAGTACAACAGACACCCACTGCATTGCGGACATTATAAGCCAAAATTTAAATTTTCAACCTAAAATTTAGTGTTGATTTTGAGGTTTTTTTTTCTCGTAATTTATTTTTTAATCTTTGCTTTTAAATCGCTAACAACACGTATATAAAAATTTCATTCACAAATTATTTTTCGTTCACAAATATACATGCAAACGATAGCACCATCTCGGATAAGGATGGTGCCCAGTTGACTGTCATGTAGCGATCGCGACGAGTACGTCTCGGTATGGACCCCGAAATGCATGTTTTTATCAGTTTATGGACTTTTGCCAGCCATTTGGCCATGACAGATTGCAATATCCTTCAGCCCGGCCCCCCTCGGCGATCGGTATGTAGACCTCACGATTTTATTGCTGACACTATCATGGCTAAGGTCTTCTGTTGAAATGCCTGAATTTTTAGCTCCAATAGTGTAGAGGAACATGGTGTTTCTTGGCAAGACGGATCTGATGCAATTATGCAACACAGTAGGGTATCTACTGTACGTATGTTTACTCTCTTTATAAAAAAAAAAAAAACCTAGAAGTGGAAGTGACCCGGCCAAAAAAATTAACCTATGAGGAAAAATGACCCCTCTAATAAATTGTTTTAGAAGGGATCACATGTTAATTCTTTTTGAACGAAAGGAATATGTTGCACTGCTTGGTTACCAAATGTGAAAAAAAACACATTTTATCTCGATACAGTGATATTTACAGAGCAAAATTTTCTCTCGGTAAAAGAGCAAAAACAGGTTTTTTGGTTTTATCGGTCTTGGTTGGGAAAGACTCTGCTTGCTAAGCTACCGGAGCACGACGGCGGCGAGGAAGCTGATGACGGCGACGGCGCTGACGGCGGAGCAGCAGAGGTCGACGAGCACCTCTCGCCTGGCCTTGGACTCCTTCCTGCCCCTCTTCCTCCTCACGAACTCGTCGTACCTCCTCTTGGCTTCCCCTTCCTGGCCCCGCCCTCCCTTCCGTGGCCCGGCCATGGCCGCGGCGAGCAGCCGCAGGCAGCCCTCGCCGCTGATCGCCGCGCCGTCGGCGTCGTCGGCGGCGAGGCTGACCTCCGTTATCTGGCCGGCCTCCTCCGAGCAGCTGACGGTGGCCTCGAACTTGCACCCGGCGAGCACCACGGCGTAGCGCACCAGCGTGTCGCCGGTGTACCAGTGCCTCTCCACCGCCACGGGTCGCCGGCTCGACACGTTCACCGCCCGGCCGGTGCTCGGGTCCAGCAAGATCCAGCTCAGCTCCAGCTCCGCCGGCGACCACGACGACGCCACCGAGGCGGGCGCCGGCGCCGGGCTCTTGCCCTCCACGGCGTCGACGCGGAACGGCGAGGCGAGGAACCAGGAGGACGACGTGGAGGTCTCGACGACGCGGGAGACGACGGCCGCGCCCCCGTGGTAGACGTCCACGGCGGAGACGAGCTCCCCGGGCAGCCGCTGATCGTCTCCGTCGAGCGGAGCGGCGGCGGCGGCGTCGTCCACGCAGGGGAAAGGGAAGGCGTCGGCGAAGAGGCGGCGCGGAGAGACGGCGCCGGCGGCGGAAAGGACGCACCGCTGCTCCGCCGCCGCCAGCGACGGCCACCGCGACAGGCAGAGCGCGCGCCACGTGTCCGGGTCGTCGGCGAGCGCCCTGAGCCCGGACGTGGCGCAGCCCGCGGCGGCCAGGGACGGCCCATCCAGCCGCCGCAGCGCGCACGCCAGCACGTCCCCTGGCAGGTCCTCCACGGTGGTGGTGGTCGCCGCCATTCAAACAGCTGGTTGAGTTCTCCGGATCCGGTGGTCTCTTGCAACGAATGCGACGTAGCTAGCCGAGCTATGGCGAGCGGGAAACGAATGCGCGATCGCGATGGCGAGTCGGCAACGCGGGGACGAGGCCGTTTTATAGGGAGGCGGGCGATAGCCAAGCCGATGTCATGTTTGTTTGTTTGTTTTCAATCGGGGTTGGGCCGTGCCGTGACCGGGTCCGGGGTGCGTGGCGCTCGCGAGCGTACGTACACGCGAGGCGAGGCGACTCGCGCGGAGTACGTACACCGGGGGCGGCATTTGGCTCTCGCGGTTCGCGTGGGGTTGGGGTGGGGAGTCGCGGGAAGAACAGGCGGCGGTTTTGTCCGTGTGTCGGCGGAGCCCCGCGCGCCGTGCGGGTGCGGGCGCGGTGCGCGGGGCGCGGCGGAGGGCGAGGGCGAGGGCGTGCGTTTCCCTCGTGATTTTGCCGGTCTCCGGAACGGAACCCGTGGTTTGCCACACCGGGGTTGAGGCGTTACGTTACGCGCCGTGTGTGCGCCGCCTGTACATACACCACGACGTACGCAACGCAGATCTAGTCGCTGAGACGCAGACCAAGTTGATTCTTCGGTATGTTGCGCGATTCTTTTTTCCTTTTTCTCAGTGTAGTGTACCAAAATTGGAGAAGAAAATTACTCCCTGTGTAGAGTACATTACATGGCTGAGTCTGTGCGTTATGTGTTAATTTGATTGGGAATAATTTCAGTTCTGAGCTTAGTTAGTTACGCACAGAGCGTAAAGTAGCATTTGCAGCCGCAATTTCGTGCGTGATATGACAGATAGCCGACGAGCGATCGAGAGGGGATATCCCTTGCCGAGCCAGGTCGGCCTTCCATATAATAACGCAGCTGTGCTCCTGCTGTTTCATTTGTCAGATTAGCGAATGATACATATCCAGCTAAGAGGATTAGTTTGAAAGCTAGCATTGCACTTGGCAGGCCCGACAACCGGATAGGCCTCGCAACAATAAACTAAAGCTTTTAGGTTAATTTTGCCGCTGCGTAAGATCGATGGAGACTTGCTTAATTATCTTCTTCTCGCCGTTTGCTACATGCTGTGCTTATTAAGTACTCCCTCCGTCCCATAATATAAGGGATTTTAAGTTTTTTTAGATTGTTTGACCACTCAATTTTGAGTCGTTGTTTAGATTGTTTGACCACTCGTCTTATTAAAAAATTTATGTAAATATAAAAAACGAAAAGTTGTGCTTAAAGTACTTTAGATAATAAAGTAAGTCAAAAAAATAAATAATAATTCTAAAATTTTTTTGAATAAGACGAGTGGTCAAATAATACAAGCAAAAACTCAAAATCCTTTATATTATAAGACGGAGAGAGTACTCCTTTTTATAATCTTTATGGCTCCTCAAGCCTCTGCCGGCCACCACTCTTGAATGGCCTGCCGCCGACGCCTATGTTACCGCAAGCCTTTCTGCAGATCGATGGAGCAGGGTTTATCAATGTCGTCACTGGTCAGATTAGTCAAACCTTTTGTTTTTATGCGTAACTTTTGTGCAGATTTAGAAGAACAGTGAGCATACTGATCTTGCTAATTATTTTCTGGCAGGGACTAGTAAATTGTTGCTGCTAGCATTTGATATTCAACTGTTTAGGCCTCCTTAGAGGATGTTTAAGGGAACTAAACTGTTTCCTGTGAAAAATGCTGTAATGTCCTCACTATATCTAAAAAATATATATCTATTCTGATGCTAACTCTATTATCTCTAGTTAATACCTTTTGCATTCTCTTCATATTTACTACTACTTATTAGGAAAAACTAGAAAGATAGCCCACGCACATGTGCGGGCACCTCATATAATATGAGTGAAATTTTATTATCAATATTTATGTGTGGCTGATTTTTTATTAAAATATTTTTACTATATTCTAAACTAAAATTAAGCTTATTTATTGTGCTTTGAATGCTACTTATTTTCTTATAATTACACTTGCAACATATAAATTCTAAAATAAAATTACTTAAGATCATGCAGTTTTGAATTTATGAGAAAAAAAATATGTTGAAACAATGGAGGCGGTTCCTATGAGAAAATTTAGGGTATTTTGACTCCCAGAAGAATATCTCACAACCCCAAAAGAAATCCAATAATAACATTTTTTTATTTTAAGTTTTATATATTTTCGTCCTAACAGTCCTCGTAAAACATTTTATTTTTCCTATTTATAATGGGTTTTAAATCCAGCAACATTTTAGCAATTTTCAATATATTTCATGTCCTTTTTTTGAGATTTCCATTCTATGAATCACCATTGAAATGCTTTGATCTTTGCAATTTGGGTCGAAAATATAAATGCATTTATGGCATGGTGTAAAGGAAAATGTTTTGAATTTTCTCTCGACATATTGAAGACATGGTCATAGTATTTTTAGTGAATTATCACTATACTGAAGTGTCTGATAAAAAAATACACTTTTATATATTGTTCTACATCAGGACTCATGATTTACAATGTTAGTAAGTTTTACCACAAAATTAAAATTAAAAATAAAGGACATGGTCTTTAATTCCTATATGGAAGTGACTTGATATATTTCTAAGACCACCTCAAAGTTTCATTGTTAAGATTCCTAGGTGCAATTCACATGCTTATCGGTATGATGTTCAACTGACTGCACCTTTATTTTCAACTTGTTGTCTATAATGCTAGATGAGTACATTTATGATTAAAAAATTATGTCACTTAATTTTTTTTCTCTAATTTATTAATGACTTCATAGATCATATGTGTAATTTGGATGTTATGATCATCTTTCTTAAGAACATTTATTTATCTCCAAAAAAGATTGCTTTAAAAGTATCAAGGTCAATTTGTATAAGTACATAGCCCCCGTATGCATGTTAAGAGAAATTAATTAAGTTGGTAGAAAGTCGTTATATGTATAACAGGATATAAGTAATAGATGGAGGTCCATTTGTGTTGTTTTTGCTCATACAGATAATTTTAATTTTAATTGACAAGGAGATAAAGAAAATAAATAGAAAATGATGGTGCACGCCGTACATGGGCAAGGAGAGAGGGAGGTTTAGGATGTTTTCTTCTAAATAATTAATCTAACCACCTAAAATAATGTATCGAATAATTTTAGGATTTTATCTGATCTATAAGAGCAACGTAACATCTTAATAGCGTTTATAGGATGTGTAATGGACTTTTAACACCGCATGCCGCAAAGGAGTAGGACAGATGTAATCAAGATATAATGACCCAAAATAATGTGTCAATCAATTGAGAATAATGTTTCAATAGATTTAAATCAAAACTGATGGTTGGATTATTTATTTTTCAAAATTTCTAAGACTTTTCTCTAATTTGAGAATGCCATATAGCAGCTTAGAAGCATTTATAAGATGTTTAATAAATTTGAATGCTACACATGGGTGGGGAGAGAAGGAGAGAGGTTTGGGTTTTTCTATTTAAAAAAACTAACAATCTAAAACAATGTATCCATCAATTTAAGTAGAAATTGATAGTCGGATACTTTGTTCTTTTTAAAGATTTTATAGTATTTTCTCTAATTTAATAGTACCACGTAGCAGTATAAAAGTATTTGTAGAATGTTTAAAGCGATAGAGGGAGAGCTGGTAGACCTAGTATGTGAAGATCTATTTGTGGGGCTTATTAACATGTAAAAATAATTTTGGTTTTAATTAATTTCTCATGAAAACAGAAAAGAACGAATAGAAGAAGTAGGAACGGGAGGGAAGTGCGTACGTTTGTTTATATAAAGAAGAAGTCCCGGATATGGTTTTTATTACAAATGGATCTAAAGATCTGAAATAATGGGTCCACTAATTTAAATGAAAATCAATGGTCGGATTTCTCTTATTTATTAGAGTGTCACTTGACGACTTGAGAGCGTTTATAGGATGCTACTTAGCGATTTGAGAGCGTTTATAGGAAATTTAATGGACTTTTAGTATATAATAGATGGCAAAAAAGAGCAAATGCATTTGAATTCTCTAGTTAGTACCTGACAGCTATTTATGTAACCCCTCTGTCCTCCACGTTGAAACTTGAAAATAGAAATAAAATGGCGAGAAAGAACAAATATGTCGTAATGTACTCTCATTAGGACAAAAAAAAAAAAAGGAGAAAAAAGTGCCAATGTGCAGTATGAAAAATGCACAAACGAGGAATGCCTCTCATTCTCTGTGTTTTCTCATTGATCATGCATAAAGCATTGACCATTCTCTTCCCACACAATAATTAAGTACTCCATTTATCACTTAATTAAGGTCGGCCATGCATGGTTGCGTCAGCTGATTATTATACAATTCGAGTGAACGAAAGGAGCTGAGGACGATTCAGGCAGAAAGAAACATAGGAGCAGTTGAAGCTCTTGGTGACACCACATGGCCCATTCATCAATTCATCACTCGTGGAGCCACAGCCACATACATTGTTTAGCCCTTTTTCTTGTTTCCATTGCCTCCAACTCTGTCTTGGTGTAGGATGGGTCATTTTTATACTAATAATCGGTTAACTCTGTTTAATTATAATTAGTGTGCCTACATCACGATGTACGGCTAGCTACACTCTGCTCTGCAGGCTCAGTTTATACATATAGTAGTAGTACAGCATTAGTTAATGGTGACTTCACTAGTGTCACCTAAACTTGAGCTACCCTCTGAATCTCTGATCGATCTCCCATTGCCGGTGCATATGATGAGGCATGTGCAGATAAAGTCACGAGTATGCTCCTCCCATTTCTAAATTTTTTAAGCTAATGCTTAACTAATCATACGTTAATTCATCGCGCCATTTTACGCGAGAAGGGGCCCCTCCCAAAGAAAAACAACCAAGTCGGCTCCTAATCGATCTTTCGCTCTCGCTGGATCTCTTGTTCCTTCTGCTCGATCGTCTCGTCGTCTTCCTCTGGTAGTCAAAAGAAGGATCGATGGATCGACGATTCGATGGAGGCAACAAAAGTTAATCAATTGATCGACCCATGACACGATGGTGACCCGGCCGCACATATGCAGTGCAGGGTCTCTCTCCCTGGAGATCGCGCCACGAATGTTAGGCAGCGACGGAGAACCGTGGCTTTGGCCGGAGCTGCG